ACTGGAAAGATCACTGGTAGAAGAAGCAGAGGCAAAGAGAAATGATGGTGAATGCATTAAGGCTGGCATGGAGGAATAGAATCAGTGGAAGTGATCCAGGACACCAATGACTGAGACCTGTGGAGAGGTATGAACGCCTACGCCAGCTGTCAAGGCACTTGTTGATGATGATCATTATCATTGTACTGTTCATCATCCATCATCAACTTCCGTTCAAACACACAAAGCAATAGTGTTACACGATAACATCTTCTTTTATTATTATAGGCAACATTCTAGGGGAAGTCAATAAGTAAGTCACAAATGGTTGTTTAAAAAACAACCAAAGACGACAACATCTTGAAAACCGTTAATTTGTGCACATACACTGTCCCTTTATTTTTCAACATAATATCAACCAACATTGATGCTCTTATCACATCGTTTTATCAGTCCTTCCGAACCTGGCTGCATAAAACTGCGTGCTCTGTTTTCTAAACCACATTTTTACTTCCAACTCAAACTTTTGCGTCATTCGCGAAATGTCATTCCGTCAAGGTGGGTTTTCAGTGGACCAAACATCGCCAGGGGCAAAGTCGGACCTGTAAGGTGGATGCTCCAGAAGATCCCACTCTAAATGGTTAATGCTTTGCTTTGTTAAACGTGCCGTATGTGGTCTGGCATCGTCATGAAGAAGTAGTACTCTAGTTAGCAGGCCTGGATGTTCACTTCGAACTGCATCATGAAGCATCGATAGAACCTTACAGTATGAATCAGCATAAAAAAGGAATGTCCTTTGCATGCAACCCTTATGCTCTCTCCCCCCCCCCCCCTCCTCCCTCGCCCCCCCCCCCCCACACCTCCCCCTTTGTTTTATTTTTTTTAAAAACGCAAGACAGCACGTTAGTCTTTAAGGGTACACTCCGTAATTACAGTCGCCACTTTGTTTATGTGTTGCAAATGCGTATGCAACACCTAGCGCCACCTAACGAACGGAGACATACATTTTGATGCTGCTGTTACCTAATGATCGGCTTTGTGGCTAAGTCGATGCGAACGCTTCGTAATGATGGGTTGCCGGGCTCGATCCCAGCTGCGGGATTTTAATGAATGGTCAAGTATCAATATGTCTTCTTGAAATCTGGTGAGCATGTACTTGAAACAAAGCAGTTCACTAATGTATTTTTTTTTAAATAGGCAAACGTGTTCAAACTTGCTAAATTATTATAAAATTGAAAAATAGTGTAAACAAAAAAGTATAAAAGTGGCCAACTATTCGGACTAAAAGTTTGGGGAATCTGGTATCCATTTAAGACTGGGTCGACTTGGGAGCCTAAAACATGTTGGGGCAAATGTCCGACTCCGTAAGGACCTTGACCCATGACCTTCGGGTTAACAGGCGAACTTCTAGCCGCTACACCACGGCAGCTTCCATTGCTATCACCATTAAGTGCCTTGCCGGCTGGCGTGGGCGCTCATGCCTCTCCACAATTTGCGATCTGCAGCTGCGTGTATCAGTTCGTGTGCTGACTCCCCCTCCACGCCATGATAAAAGGCTGTCAAGAATCTTCTCGCCATGTCCTCCTCTGTCTCTCTTTCCACATATATTTCTAGTTGTCACAACATGTTCTATTCTCCATCTTCTCATAACATGGCACCTCTTTTAAAACATGTGGGTAGCTTTTCTTAGCTGTCCACGGGATTCCAAGTATTCTTCTGTAAAACCGCATCTCCGCAGCCTCAAGATATTTCTCGGCTTGTTTATTAATTGTCCATAATTCACAGCCATATGTTAAAACAGGCTTATAAAAGTAAAGTAAAGATCCCTTTTCACACCTTTCGGCGCATCGGGCATATGGGCAGAGCGTCCCATATTTTTACAGACCAATCGGCACTCGGTGGGGAATGTGGTCAGCATTACGCCGGCCGTATTTACTTCCCCAGGACAGCCCATCCTGGTACCCATTTGAGGCTGGGTCGACCTGCGACGTCCCATAACACGATAAAAATCCACGCAGCCCGCAGTGGGTTTCGATCGCGGAACGTTGGATTTCGAGTCGGACTTGCAACGCCTTAGCCACGGACGCCGCCAGGCTATATTTAGCTTGCGAGAATTCTCTTCCAATGACATGGAAATATTGCACAAAATATTCTTCATTTTATCAAAAGCAGTTTAGACCTGTCCTGTCCTGTTCTTTATCTCTCTTATACATCTTCCATCGGATGTTATGCACGTGCCCTCATACTTAAATGTCTGTACTCATTCTGAAATAACGTCTGTGACTCCATTGCTATACCCATAGATTTATCGGTAGCTGAGCTTGATCAAAGCCACTTCTTGAAAAGCAGATAATATGAGCAAAGAATATTTCATAAATTAACGACTGATTATAAGTTAATGAAAGCAGATGATGAAAACATTTGGAAATTTCTTCTTCTTCAGATGAGTAAGCAATAATAGCAGAAACATAAGAGTTTCCAGTATCATTTAAATCAAGTCAATATCAAGTGTGAAAACATGTGATATAAAAACAAACATTGAAAAGACAAGGACAGTAGTGATGAGCAGACACCCAAAACACATATCAGTAAAAGTAAATAACAGAGAGATAGAGTACATAAATGAATATAATTAAGTATCTGGAATAGTATAGAAATTTATGTATCTGGGCACATGGATAACATCAGGTGGAAGATGCATCACCGAGGTACGAAACAGAATAGGACAGACAAAAACTGCAGTTTTTAAAATGAAGAACATCTTACGCAATATATCTCTGTCATTTAAGTTTAGAAAAAGAATTCTTGCTAGATACAACCAGTTTTAACATGTAGCTGTGAGTCCTAAACAATCGGTGGGCAGGCCAAACAATTTCTTGAAGCCTCAGAGATGTGGTTTTACAGAAGAATGCTTAAAATACATTGGACAGCCAAAAAGAGCAATCAAGAGGTTTTGAAAGAGACAGGAGCCCAAAGACAAATTATTACAGACATCAGAAGGAGACATCATGTTATGAGAAGAGGGAAAATGTGACCATTGGAAAGATTTTTGGAAGGAGGGATAGAAAAAGACAACAAGAGAAGATTCTTGACAGTCTTGTTGCATGGTATAGAGGTGTGTCAGCACATGAACTGATACATGCTGCAGGAGATCGCCGACTGAAAAGGCATGATCGCCCAAGCCAGTCGGCAAGGCACCTGATGATGATCTGGAATGAATTTTCACATCTGAAGCAAGAATGGATAAGTAAATAATAGTGTTTGTTATAAGGATTACAAACATCCGGATAATGATGGCGGCGAATACGATGATTATGACGACCACAATGACGATGCAAAATAATGAAGAGATACGGTCCTCAACACAGAAGAACGAAAATCTGAAGATAATTACCAAATTTACGATGACGGTAGTGATAATGAAATAATAATCGTGTTGGTAGTGATAAATGAGTAATGAAGATATCTTTTTAAAATGAAATAATAATTGTGTTGGTAGTGATAAATGAGTAATGAAGATATCTTTTTAAAATGAAATAATAATTGTGTTGATAGTGATAAATGAGTAATGAAGATATCTTTTTAAAATGAAATAATAATTGTGTTGGTAGTGATAAATGAGTAATGAAGATATCTTTTTAAAATGAAATAATAATTGTGTTGGTAGTGATAAATGAGTAATGAAGATATCTTTTTAAAATGAAATAATAATTGTGTTGGTAGTGATAAATGAGTAATGAAGATATCTTTTTAAAATGAAATAATAATTGTGTTGGTAGTGACAAATGAGTAATGAAGATATCTTTTTAAAATGAAATAATAATTGTGTTGGTAGTGACAAATGAGTAATGAAGATATCTTTTTAAAATGAAATAATAATTGTGTTGGTAGTGACAAATGAGTAATGAAGATATCTTTTTAAAATGAAATAATAATTGTGTTGGTAGTGACAAATGTGTAATGAAGATATCTTTTTAAAATGAAAAAATAATTGTGTTGGAAGTGACAAATGAGTAATGAAGATATCTTTTTACAATGAAATAATAATTGTGTTGGAAGTGACAAATGAGTAATGAAGATATCTTTTTAAAATGAAATAATAATTGTGTTGGTAGTGACAAATGAGTAATGAAGATATCTTTTTAAAATGAAATAATAATTGTGTTGGTAGTGACAAATGAGTAATGAAGATATATTTTTAAAATTAAATAATAATCATGTTGATAGTGATAAATGAGTAATGAAGATATCTTTTTTTTTAAAGACTCACGAAGAGAACTGATTGCCCACATCAGAAAGAGACAATCTACATTGTTTGGACATGTGATGAGAAGGAGAAAACTGGAGTACATCGTGACAGTAGGAAAGCTGGAGGGGAGAAGAGGCAGAGGGAGACCGAGAGAACAGATGCTGGACAGTCTGACATCATGGCATAGAGGATCATTTGTATCAGAGCTAACTGAAAGTACACGTGACAGAAGGTTGTGGATAGACACAACTACCAACGCCACACGGCATGGACTTTGAAAAGAAGAAGAATGACAAATATGATAAACATGATGATGATTGCGGCCATGATGGCAACAATAATGATGAAGATGGCGGTGAAATGATGATGTGCTCGTTGTAATGACGACGATGATGAAAATGTATGATGTTGGCTATAATGATGACGACGACGATGATGATGCTGGTGATAACGGCGAAATGATTGTACTGGTTAAAATAATGATGAGGATGATGATGATAATGCTGATGATAAAATTATGATGTTTACTACAATTATGACGACGATGTTAGAGGGTGATCGTGGTGGTAGTGATGGTGGTGATGGTGGTGGAGGTGATCGTGGTGGTAGCGACGGTGGTAATGGTGGTGGGGGTGATCGTGGTAGTGGTGTCGGTGGTGATGGTGATGGTGGTGTCGGTGGTGATGGTGGTGGAGGTGATCGTGGTGGTGGTGTCGTGGTGATGGTGGTGGAGGTGATCGTGGTGGTGGTGTCTGTGAAAATGGTGGTGGAGGTGATCGTTGTGGTGGTGATGGTGTCGGTGGTGATGGTGATGGAGGTGATCGTGGTGGTGGTGACGGTGGTAATGTTGGTGGTGGAGGTGATCGTGGTGGTGGTGACGGTGGTAATGGTGGTGATGGAGGTGATCGTGGTGGTGGTGACGGTGGTAATGGTGGTGATGGAGGTGATCGTGGTGGTGGTGACGGTGGTAATGGTGGTGGTGGAGGTGATCGTGGTGGTGGTGACGGTGGTAATGGACGTGATGGTGGTAGGAGTGATGGTGGTGGTGGTAGTGATGGTGGTGGAGGTGATGGTGGTGGTGGTAATGGTGGGGGTGGTGATGGTGGTGGAGGTGATGGAGATGGTGGTGGAGGTGATGATGGTGGTGGTGGGAGTGATGGTGGTGGAGGTGATGAAGTTGGGGTAATGATGGTGGTGGTGGAGGTGATGGTGGTGGAGGTGATGGTGGAAGTGATGGTGGTGGAGGTGATGGTGATGGTGGTGGTGGTGGAGGTGATGATGGTGAATGTGATGTTGGTGGTGGATGTGATGGTGGTGGGTGATGGTGGTGGAGGTGATGGTGGTGGTGGTGGAGTGATGATGGTGAATGTGATGGTGGTGGTGGATGTGATGGTGGTGAAAGTGATGGTGGTGGAGGTGATGGTGATGGAGGTGATGATTGTGATACTGATGGTGGCAGCGATAGTGGAAAAGCAACTGGTCAACGTGATAAGCTCATCAACTCAAACGAACGAAAGTCCCACCGATCGGAAACGCGATCTTGTTTGGCTTTCATTCGCCAGAGGCAATAAGCAACAGCTGGGCTGCTGGCTCGCAGGCCTGTTGGTGAACATAATGAAGATGGTGACACAGATACTGCTCTTTGTGATGGTCGTGTACCTTGATCAGATTTAGTTCCTTAGCCTAACCCTAGTGGAGCTGAGCTGGGGTACAAACTAACATCACGGCATTTGGGGCAATCCTATATGCCCTCATCTTCAGCATTCAGCGAAAAATTCGGTGTTTTATTAATATCCTACCACAAACAGGGGAAATCAACAGGTCACGGGACAGTATAATATTTCAGGGGGTGGTAGACAGGCTGCATGCAGTCGTGGGGCCTAGGCTGCATGCATTCGTGGGACCTAGGCTGCACTCTCTCGTGGGACGTAGATGGGTTGGGGTTAGGGCCAGTTCTAGATGTTTTGGGGTCGTTAAAACCATCAGAAAGCCGTGAAACCCAGTCTTACCACCCTCTAAAATGTTAGACATATGTATTCCCCGTGGGTCAAGTGGCCTCATTTGATAGTAAAGAAAGGGGGTGAGAAAAAATAGACCCACTGCCCCCCCCCCCCACCCCAGCAACCATGTTGTAAAATATTTGTGACCCTGACGGGACTCAATGTTTAGCATGACTGATGTCGAACGCAGAAGAAGACAAATGACAAATTAGGGAATAGTTGGAATAGTATATGTTGGGTAGAAATGTCTAGATATCGCAGATTAGCTGTAAATCCAAACGTAACATGCCAACCGCTTGTTTTAGGATGAAAGCTGAGAAGGGAGGAAGAAATGTGGTCTTTCTGTGTTCTTTATTAACGTGAACATTCTAGAATAACCGGTGCATGATGTATTCATGCATGACTGCGACAGGAAAGCTAGGACGGCAACATATGGTGGGTGAATTAAGTCTTATGAGTGTGCGGCGTGTGTGCAGACGACAGCTACTGCTCACCTTTGTGTTATATTTATATTGGGTGTTTTCGTATCATTCTGTCTGTGCACGCTTGTGTATGCCTGTTTGTGTGTATGTATTTGTATATGTGTGTATACATTTAAGAGTTTTTGTAAAGTAGGATTATTCGTTCATATGTGTTTGCATACAATTTGTCGGTGTCTGTCTCTCTGTCTGTCTGTATTTGTATGTGTGTGTAAGAGTGTGTTTTGTAATGCGGAACCAGCCTTTTAATCTTTGCATGCAATGTGTCTGTGCGTATGTTTGCCTGCCTGTATGTCTGTATATGTATGTGTGTAAGACTGTGTTTTGTAATGTAGAACTGCTCCTGTAGCGTTTGCCTGCAATTTATCTGCAGACCAAGACAGTGGAGAAACAACATCAAGTAGTTTGAGTTACAAACACTTGGACTGACCAAATGAAAAGAGAAAGCTGATCACAGAGATGGACCGAGGCAGGTGTACAGAGGCATAAAGGAGAGATAAACACTGCGTACACAAAGTGAGGGGCTGCGTGGTCTCAAGCATGGTGCCCGCCTCGAGTGATAGATGTTCCGGGTTCAATCCCCGGTAAGGGGACGTGGACTTGGACTTCTAGTAATTCCCCCCTGCCTGGTCTCTGGGTAGTGAGATAGGACGCCCGTGTTCATTGTCGTGCACGTAAAAAATCCCTTAGCAGTTGGAAATCGAAAAGAGTAGCCTAACGGCGTTGTCTGCGCAAAATTTGGAGTTAAAAATCTACTTTAGGTATTTCAGGATCCTCGCCGGTGCTACAGAGTCTGTGCACTGTGCTGAGCTGCTTCTTCGGACTCAGACTTGAGTTAGAGGAAGAGCGGAGCACTTATGGGTTACTACCCGTGTGCCATGATGTTGATCCGTGGTTCAAACCTCAAACCACACAAAAGAGTTTTAACTGAGCAGAGCACGAGACAGAGTAAGGGGACAGTGGAGAGGTAATATCCAGGCAGTTCTACAAACTCCTTGAGTCGCTAACTGAAAAGAGAAGTAAAAGTTAAGTCCCTTTTCCAAGCCTTTGGGAGTATTGGGTAAAGGTAAAGGTAAAGTCGGGAGATGTGAACCAGCGTTATTGCACACGGTTATAAACCATAAGTGCTCTGTCACCAGTACGGACAGCTGATAAGAAACTCTCCGCCTGTGTCGCCGTCAGCACTCAACTCCGTAGCTACAGCGACAATCCTCCATTTACTCCAAAGTGTCAACTCTAGTGGGGGAACCCTGGGAACCGCCTGGTTGCGAACACCGGTCGTGGGCTGCAGCGAGTCGCATCTGGATTTGGAAGCGAGTCTCCTATTGACCACGCTAGCGCGAATATAGGGCTAGACCTATATTTGTATAGACCAATCGGCACTTGGTGGGTGATGTGGTCAGCATCACTCCGGTCGCTTTTCCTTAACAGGAATGACTGGAGGCGGTTGACATCTGTAGCAATAAACCTAGATAGCTAGGAATGTTGAAAAAGTATCACACACCTTCAATGACGGCTAGTTTTTTGCCTAAAATCGAAGTAATAAAATGAGATGAATATTTAGATGGACAGACAGTAGCCCCGAAGTTATAAGCGTCACATAAAGGCAGAAGTCGATAAATGACAAATATTATATAAGACGAGCAGGTGAAACCAATAAACCAGCGGTTTTCAGTCTGGGTACGCAGGTAAGTTTCAAAAGGATGGGGGGGGGGGGGGGGGGCAATTTTGAATCTGAGTGATTTGTACTTGTAATAATCTGTCACAGTAAAAAAATTATTTTTTTTAGTAAAGTTTTATCAATAATATGTTTTTTAACTATATATATATTATGTATATATATATATATATATATATATATATATATATATATATATATATATATATATATATATATATATATATATATATATATATATATATAAATATAAAATCAATGTTTGTGTGTTTGTTTGGTCTCTATAGACTCGGAAACTACTGAACCGATTTAGCTGAAATTTTCAGGATATGTTTGTTGTGATACCGGATTTTGAACCGTCGTGGTTTGAAATTCAACCTGTCACTGTTAGAGATAGGTGACCACAATTTATGCCAAAATATACGCAACTAATATTTATAACTTTAGTGATTTCTAATTATAGAAACGTTAGTAATTGCGCATGCGCCGTATTTACCATTCGCCGGCGAGTTACGTGCAGCCAACGCCTTCTCTAATACTAATACATAGAGTAGGTCGTGGTACAGCAAACAAGACTATCTCTATATTTGCCACAATAACCATATTAAACACGATTTTTCTATTTTCTGTTTTTTTTTTTTTACAAACAACCTTCGATGGGGGGAGGGGCGGGGGGCAATCAAGGACCATCTCGACATCGGCGCAGACATTGACTGCGTCATTAACTTCATTAAACAGGTTGCGATTTCCATTGTCTTTCTTTTCTAAAAACCTTTGATGAGGGAGAGGGTACTAGGTGGATTTAGTTGTGGGGATGGGGGGGGGTGGGGGGGGGATCAAAAGACTATCTCAAATTACGCCACAGTAACGCGTGGCCGGGTACAGCTAGTATATATATATATATATATATATATATATATATATATATATATATATATATATATATATATATATATATATATATATATATATATTATATGGAAGGTTAGTTGCGTATCCTTTACAGGACGTTGCAGAACGAACCCCAACAGCCCCTGACTGTTGTGTGGCTCCTCTAGGCAAATTTACGTCCAGTAGTTTGCAATTGCTTTTTGGACGGTCGGCTCCCTGATACCTCTGTCGAAACCAACGCAAGGCGCATAGCCTGCAGCTGGGATCGAACCCGCACCCCGGCATTATGAAGCGTTCGCATCGATTTAGCCACAGAGCCGATATATATATATATATATATATATATATATATATATATATATATATATATATATATATATATATATATATATATATATATATATATATATATATATATATATATATATATATATATATATATATATACACACACACACACACACAAACGTATATATGTAAATATATTAAACAAAACAAAAACAAGGACATTGTGTTATTCATGTCATTCGACGCTTTGATTTATGTGGGTGTTTTTATTCACGGTGTTATTATTATTGCTTTGGATTTTTTTATATTTTTTTTATTTCTGTGTCTTTTAATAACATTTCTTTTTTTTTTTTATAGTCGGTGTGTTGGAAGGGCATGGGAGACTTAAAGTACATTCAAGGGGACGCCACCTGAAAAGAGTTGAAAACAGTGCAATAAACAGACAGGCAGACAGAAATATAAATATGAAATTTCGCAGACAGGCAAATAATCGAATAAATTAAAAGTTGAGGGAATATAAAGAACAGTAAAAACAGTAGGGAACATAAGTGTAAATGAGTTAATGCATATGTGAACAGATTATCTTTATGTTCCTTCTTTAATATTGCAACCTGAAAGATTTACATCAACTGACTTAAAGAGTCACTATTCGGATGCAATGGCAACAAGAGCGAATCACACACATCTTCTTCAAAAGTATATGATAGTTACACTGTGGCATGCTGTAGTTACGAAGTAACATGCAGTTTGATGTAATGAAAATATTTAACTTTTATTAGCCAATAGTATACCTTTTTTTTTTTTTTTTTGC